TGGGAGACTTTGCTCTTGGAAACCGAATTGCCGCAATTATGCAAAGCAGCTATGGGTGCAGTGAGGAGGCAGGTGACCTCGAGCCCTGCCTGCACCTCGGAGAGCCGGCGCAGGCAGCGTCGAGGCCGGCGCTCGCCCTGGGGTGCGTACGTGCCTGCAGCCCGACGCAGCGCAATCTCCGCTCTGCTGCTGCTCCAGAAATGCCACTTCCCCTGCCCGCGCAGGGGCCTTGCCCAGCATCGAGCTGGGCTCTCTCCCCGCCGGGCTTTGCCAGGCTGCCCGCAGCCGTGCAGAGGCAAGAGGGAGGCACCGCCTCGGCCCAGCGCTCCTCTGCCAGCGCAGCCCGGGGTGGCCCGGGGTGGCCCAGGATGGCCCAGGAGAGCCAGACCCGGCCAGGCAGAGGCGAGGGGTGCTGCAGGCACGGCCTCTTCTGGCTTTCCTAGGCCCGTCCTGTCGAGGTGCAGCCAGGGATGGGAGAAGGGACCAGCCCGAGCGCCCACGGGTCGGGCTGCAAACCTGCGTCCAGGGGCTGCCGAGCTGGAGGAAGTGGCCGCTGTGTCCCCGTCACCCTGACGGCTCATTTGGCCCAGATTGAGCCATTAAAAGCCAGAAATTGCAAAACAATTTGTTTGTTCCTTGTAGAAAAACAGCCTGCAGAGCGAGCAATCGATCGCCGCGGGGCACGGGAGGTGCCAGGGCGCCGCTGTCTCCCTGCCCATTCAAAGCCCATTTGTTTCGGGGTTGTTTGAGGAGCACCGTGATCGGTCCTTGCAAACCGGGGGTGCGACACGCACCCGATCCGTGGCACGTCCCTCACGGGTTTTATCGAAGGTGTGAGACAAATGTTCTCTACAAATACAACGGGATGAGGGTAAACACGGGCAAGAGGAACAATCGATGGTGAAAGAAAAGATGAGCAGCAGGCAGGGGTTTACTGGGGGACGCTGGGGCGGGCCGTGCTCGGCAGCCTGAGCCCTGGGGTGGGCGTCGCGCGGCCCCAACCAGAGCTCCGGGCTCTGTCACTGCGCACAGAGGCCGCGAGCGGCGCCCACCCCCCGACGCCCCAAAGCTTTTCGGGGTGGGGGAGAGCTGCAGAAATGGGCTGTGTGTCCTGGCAAGGGGCACGGCTCCCGGCGCCACGCTGGGCCCAGCTGGGTGCTCCCCAGAGCCCAGGCAGCCGGAGGCGCAGCACCCTGGGGACCCCCGGCCCCAGCGTGTTTGTAACTGGGGCGGGGCGGGGGCGGCGGCGGCGGCCGGAGCCGCACCGCGGGGCTGGGCACGGCACGCGGCCAGTGCTCCCCGGCCCCCGAGCTAGCGACAGCCATGGCGCACGCACACGCGTCCTGACGGGGACAAGGGCCCCATAGAGCATCGGTCAGTATCAACATACGTGCACACACACCCCCACACGTATGTCCTTCTACATGCATGTCCCCACACACACATATGTCCTTATATCTACATGTATACACACACGCATGTCCTTACACCTACATGTGCACACACACACGCAGATGTAGGTATGTAGATAGGGGGGTGTGTGTGTCTTTATACCTACATGTACGTGTGTGTCTATACATACACGCACACGCGCATAGATGTATGTATGTAGGTATGTGTGTGTATACACACAGATATAAATGCAGACACACATATATACATGTATAATAGATATCGTATAGCTTATGTGTCTATCTCAGTATGTGTATATATGCATGTGTATACCTATAGATACGTGTAGATACAGACACACGTGCACGTATGTATATTTATGTGGATGGAGCCATATAGATGGGGCAATTTGCCCCAGTGGCATGTATATACACACACAGGCATACATACATATATGTGTGTGTGTGTGTACATACACACCTACCACTGGGGCCAATTGCCCCATATAGGCTCCACACATAGACATAAATACACAGAGGGTCACACACAGATGTGTGTACACACACACACACACGCACACACAAAGCTGGAGCGCGCTGTAGCTGTAGCCCTATGTATACAGACGGCTGGCTGGCTGTGTTTCGATAGGCGCACAAAATACACTATTATCTGTTACAGTTATATACATTAGGTATATTGCCTATATTTTATACTGTATATGATGTTATATATTATTCAGTATAGTCACTGTTTATTATATAATACAGAAAGTAGCATACAATTTATATGCATACATAGTCTATTATAAAATGTAATAACACATATATAAAACATAAAATATAAGTGTGTGTGTGCATACTATAGTACATTTTGCTGCCGGGGCAAGTGCCCCTTATTGGCACGTATAGCTGCCTATGCCGGGGTGTACGTCGGCATGCCGACGCCAGCTGTGTGTTTATAGCCACACATATACATTGCTGGGACCAACTGCCCCATATATTGTCCTCCGTCCACAGAGACATGCAGGCGCATGTGCATACACCCCCCCCTCCATAGCGATCAACATCTATAGCTGCCTTTTTCTATACCTGTATATGCCTATAGATACATAGGGGTGTATAGACACTAGACAGCTATTGAGCCCTGTGTGGGTTTTGTGTAACAAGCTACACGTGCCCCACAGAGCCACCGTCCATACGAACAGACACGGGAGCGCATGGCTGCGTGCGTGCACACGCACACACACACACGCACGCACGCACCCTCTCTGCCTATAGCTATGCCACAGGTTCATGAACTATAGGGCTATAGGAACCTGGAGCTGTCACCTTATGTGCAGCGTATGGCGAGAGGGAAGGCACGCACGAGCACGCAAGCAGCTATGTATATAATAACGTAACTATAGAGTTTATCGATCGCTATATGGATTTATCTCGGGGGGGAGGGGTGAGTACACAGACACACAGATGTACATTTATATGTGCATGCACATAAGCATGGCCAAGTGCCCCATATATGTTCCAGGCATATATGGGACCAACTGTCCCATGTATTGGCCTCCACCCATAGAGACACGCAGGCACATGACATAGTGATCAATATCTATAGCTGTCTTTTAATAGATCTGTATATGCCTATGGATACATAGGGGGATATATACACTAGACAGCTATTGAGCCTATATATCACTATATATATGTGTGTGTGTGTGTGTGTGCACACAGCTGTATGTATAGCTATCAGTTATACCTATAGCTATATCTTTGTAGCTATAGCTATACCTCCTTTCATTTAGTTCTAGCTGTAGCTATACCTCTATGCTGTGTGTATGCATTTACTTACGTAGCTTTTTAGCCAGAAAGCTATAAATTGCTTATGTGTGTGCGCATGCGCACACACACGCACACACACACGCGCACATATACACACACACGCGCGCACACGGTGCTGCGGCCACTCTCTCCATACGGTCCCCGTGCAAATAACCCTGCCTGCACACACAGCTGCTGTGCACATATAGAGATGTATAGTCATCCATCGATGCACGAACGTCTGTATGACAGAGACAAACCGACCGCAGGGGGCCAGACACAGACAGACAGACAGACACCCCCCAGCTCTAGTCTGTAGCACTGGCTAGATCTACACCTATGTATATACAGCGATAGAGACAGAGAGAGAGAGAGAGAGAGAGAGAGAGATCCCTGCATCTGTGGCTATATCTTTTAGCTAGATGCATACGCATGTGTATATGTGTCTACCTGTGTAAGTATCTGTGTGTATATGTATATATAGGACTTTACGTAATTATATCTAACTGTGTCTATTTGTATACATACGTATGTGGGTGTACAGCTGTGCATGTACGGGGGTGTGCGCGGCTGCACGTCCAGCTGGCTAAGTGGGTATACTTCTCTGCATACATACGTGCAACCAAGGCCAAGTGCCCTGTGGGTAGCTCTCCCTAAATTTACATTTACGTATGTCCATGTGTAGCTATATATGACCATACCTATGTATGTATACATGTATATGTGTGTGCATCTATGTATATGTGCGTGTCTAAGTATGTGTATGTATCTCAATCTATGTGTGTGCGCGCTATGCATATATGTGTGTGTATGCATGTTTATACACACACGTCTATAGCTACAGCTATACCTATATACGTTTATATGTATCTATATGTGTGTATACGTTGAGCTATATATGTCTGTATGTGTATGTATAAAGTACACAAATGCAGATAGACAGGTATAGACAGAGCAAATAGTTCTGCATTTATATATGCACACATACAACCGTGGGCCACAGTCTCCAGTCACACACATATACATCTGTATGTATGTATGTATGTATGTATGTATGTATACACACAGAGGCAGACCCCTACAGCCCCGTGTCTGTGTCCGTGCACACGCGTGCGCCCGCGGGGCTGCCCCGGGGCTCTGCCGGCG